TTATTGAGAGAACACCTGCTTTTTAAATCGCAGCAAAAGAATTCCCGCTTTGCCCAGACAGATGCCATGCGTTTTACTACCATGTAATTTCATTATTAACAGAGGAAAGCTGAAGTTTCTTCAATAAATTTTGCACCGAAGTCTTCAAAATGCATTTTTCGTGTTTTCACAACACTGACTCGATGAAAATTTTGCCAACTTCGTACACCAAGTCTATGGCATCAGCAGATGACAATGTACTTAATTTTCATAGATTAGAAGCTACCTGGGAATAATTAGATGCCTTCAAAATTCATGACGTCGCAGTGTTTGGAGAGCGAATTGCATGGGGGCGTCTCTACACGCATTTTCTTTTCGTGCGTTTTTTCGCTTCGTGTTGCGGTATGAAAGGTGTTTTTGGTATCACGAAATTGTACTCCACTAATATGCAAAAAATCGTTTTGCTTTTTAGCATCCCTTTAAGTCCCTTATCATACTTATGATACATTTGCAAAGAGACTAATACGTCAATGATTCACCACAATAGTCCTAAAGAGCAAAATAATTTTTCGCATGTTATTAAAGTATGATTTCACAATCCCGAAAACTCTTGGTAAGCGAGCGAACACGCAAAAAGAAAATGTGGGTGGACACATCATTGTGAGATTCCCACATTAAACATCATGGCGTAGTAAATTTTGCAGGCACCCACTGGGTCCTGCATAGCTTCTCTTGATAAAAATGAAGTACATGCACCGTAATTTATGGGTGTCATAGACCTAGCATACGAAGTTATAAAAATTTCATGAAGCCAATATTGTGAAAATACGAAAAATACATTTTGCTTTATGCCTACGCGGAGATTTCGGCACGAAATTCAAAAGTGCAACTTCAACCTTGATTTTCACCGTTAATAATGAACTTAGGACTGTGAAACTTGTGGCATTCGATTTCCGAGTGCAGTTTATCAATCTAAGCCAAACCATTGTCTCTGTTCAGAGTCTTTTCGAGTGTCTGCTCATGCTGTTCTTCAGTAATACAACGTCGTGCTTGCTCTACTCGAGGTGGAGCATCGTTTTCTTGACCTTGCTTGAATTTTTTGCTGTGCGAATTCTTCTCCGGCCCCCCCCCCCCCTTTCCCTTCTCATTGTTTGCATTGCCTGAATGTCGCTTTGCCAGAGCGCAGATTGTAAAGAAATCAGGGCCGCAGTAAAGTGAACGCTAATGCCTTTAGTCCTGACCTTTTGGTTTTCTGTAAGAGAACTTAAAAAATCTTGAATAAAAATAAAACAAGGGCAACCTATACGACTCGGGTTATGAATGCCACCCACACTATGGTGGAGGTGTCAGCTTCATTGGGGCTGCATCATGCAAGTCGGTGCGGCACACTTAATAATATTAATACTGTAATAATAATATTGTTTATTTTCAACATGTTACATGTCAAGGAATGATGAGGCTAAAAGGCAGATTAAGTGCCTGACAATGACGTTGACAGGTGGCAGTCATCGTCTGTGAGAGCCTTGCAATCGAATCGCACAAACAGTGCTGGGGCGGATGCATGAGGCGGCAAGCGCGTTTGACCACTCGCAGCGATACGACGCGTCCATGTCTACGGGTTGCGCGGGTGTGCGTTCATCGTGCATCTGCAGAGACGCGTTCTTTGGCTGTCGGTGCTGACATTCAACTCTCTGCCCTTTAGCTTTGGCCTTGTTTTTCGCAAAATAGCGCTCATGCGGCGGCGCTGCTGTTGGCTTCGAGAGCCGTCGGTGCACCATCCTGCAAAAATGCTGTATGTCCGGCGCAATATTGCTCACACCACTACCTCTCGCCACCATACCTCTGGCCACTACACCACTACCTCTGGCCACTACCTCTGGCCTCTGGGCACCAAAGGAAGTTAAAGGGATACTGAACAAAATGAGAAAAACTGACAAAACTTCGAAATTCCACTTGGAATATGCCACTGTTCCGATAAACAGAGTTTATTTTGCATATTTTTGAAGAGTTGGTTGTATTTTTGATGGATTGTGGCGCGCGGTGGTTGCTCGCGAGCGCGAACAGTGATGTCAAACTCACCGAGACGCATGCACGATGCACATATTTTTGTCGTCCTCTTCCTTTTCTCCCGCTGTCCTTTCACTTCACTCTTTCCCTTCCACAAAAGCGCTGGCCCTTTGCCCCAGCCAGAAGCATTGTTCGCTGCTATTGCTGTTCACACCGGTTCCGGGAACCGAAGTGGTAGATGAGCAAGTGGAGAGACGCAGGCGTTGGCTGGCATTGTTGGCTTGACAGTTCCCGGTGAGTTTGATGTCACCCAACGTCACATCCTCTAGTTCACGGCACTTCCGCCAGACGCGACAGTTTGTAAAAAACGCATTAAATTAATTATTTTCCCGTAGTTTCTGCTTAAATGGAGGTTGTCTTTATCAATTTCAGGATCCAATCTATCGATTTGGCTGAAAATATTGGCAGCAAAAATTTTGTTCAGTATCCCTTAAAGCTTTAGGCAGTTCTGCAATAATGTAGCATTTAGATCTGGATCCGCCTGTACCTGGAACACGCAGGATGTTTCACATCACGGGACGTCGCTGGTGGGTTGGCAAATTCAACGCAACGAAAAAATTGCATTGTAAATCGGCATATATAGTGACTATAGGCACTACTATCACTCCCGATTTTCAATGCATGAAAGCCAGCACTTTGTAATGTGTCAACAATTTGTAAAATTTGCACTTCCTGTTGCGATAACCAGTTAACAATTAGAAACGGCGATTAGCCCGGCTTCTTGGTATGAAGATGTACTGACACAAATAGTGTGAAAATAGAACGTGCAATACGGAAATGTACATGGCACAGCATCTGTGTTGTACGTACACCACAACTAGCGGTGGTAATAACCCCTTTTATCACATGCGATGCACGTTGAAGTGTTCAATAAAAAATAGATTGCCCAAATTGCCATTTCAAAGTTTACTGCACAACTATTCAAACAGTTAAATTTGCTTTACATATAGTGACATGCAGTTTTAGCCACAAGATGAGATGTGATCAAAGATCCATAAAAAGATCACCAGGCCTGCACTGAACGCGCGGCCCAGTCAACGGGAAAGCTGGAAGAGCAGCTTTTCAGAGCCTTTCTTGGAGACTCGTTGAGTAACTGCTTCAAGCACACTTGTTGGGTACCATTATGCCATAAACCATCATAATGTTTGGGTAGTAGGGAGGCTTTGGTGATGATAATTCCTCAACCATGGCTCATACCCACTCTGGCAGATTGGCCAAGAATTGGTTATATGAATTTAAAGTATTAAATAATTCGAACAGAAAGAGGAAGGAACGTACCTGAAACAAAGAGACTGGAATAATTTATTATGCCATCCTTCGTCATTCTTCGAAGAAGCGCGGTATCCGCTACTCACTTGTGAGAAATTTCGCGCAACTTTTTTAAGCTGTGGCTGATGATAAATAATTGTACCTGAAGCTTTTGTAATGAGTTGGAGCATTCGATAACCCACTCGTTATGCAATTTGAATTGTGTGATGCACTAAGGCCAGTTCTCAATAAAGTTTCAAGCACCAACGTGGTGGTAGAATACTGGGCTGGCATGCGCGGGACCCGGGTTTTTTTTTCCTATTTCGTGCAATAGTCGTTACGAATATCCGCAGCAGTGGTGGACAATTACGGCGCACGCAAACCTTGTTGTGATCTCTCAACAGCTTTCGCTGTGAAAAAACTGGTCATAGGTTGTAACTACAAGTAACAGCACATCAATTACAAAAGCATCTCTGTTTAACATGAGCAAATATTAAAAATTTATCCAATTATTGACTAATGGCATTTGCTAATCAGCTGTATCTAATACATGCAAGATGATAAATTTGCTTTCAAGGCGACTAATGCGGAATTTCAGACTAACACTGGGGGCATGCAAATAGTGACTTTTAGAACTGAATCGAAAAGAAAAATCCAATGCTATTCAAATCATTTACAAGTAGTAAGACAACCATCTTCAAAGCAACCTCTGAATGGCCTAAGTTACGTCGCACTGCCAAAACAAAACACTAGCATCACCAGTGTGTTGCGATGATGCTAGCACACCTTAAATACACAACCAATTTTTGGCATATAATGAGTTCATATCAATTAACACACTTCACCGATGTGGGCCTGCTAAACAGTAGCACGACAGCATTGGCTTTTAGCGGAATCAGAAGCAAATAAAAAAACGACTATGTTACACATACTGTCCTGAGAAATGCGGGTTGATAAGGCTAACTCAAGAAAAATCTAATAACTTACATATCTAATTAGGCCTTGCTAACGCCTACTAGTACCATCACACTTTAACACACAGTAACCATCTCTGTGAACATTTAACGAGCAAAGCACACTCGTATTATGCCAACTAATTATGCAACATTGGGGGCATAACATAGCTCTGTTCATTAGAACTTTTAACGTGCTTCTCAGAGAAACCTCTTCACATTAAAACATTTCAAATTGTATGATTTTGACAGCACCACCAAACAGTTCGGAAACATGAAATTGATAGACGCAGTCAATTTTGCCATATACGCGGCTGGCTTCAGTAGACTGTCCTTGAGAGAAAAGCTCGGCATATGTAGTTCGCAGCCACATACATACAATTCATAATTCATAACGACTGATGTATGGAAAGGTAGTGATATTTAGAGTGCGTAAACAGAGAAAAAACGAAAGACAGAGGTATACAGACAGAGGTATATTGTCTTTCACTTCTTGTCTGTTTACGCACTCTAAGTACAACTACGTTCACGTATACACTCGCCAATATTTCAATGCTTTTAAATATGGAAAGGTGTTGAAAGCATGTGATACACAGGCCAGCAGTGCGTAGCACGTGAAAAAATTTACTACATAATCATCGTATAATATATGACAACAGAAAGCACCTGTAACAGAGCCCTGCTGGACATTCCCAGTGCTGACCGCAAGGAACGCGTTGTCGGCGGTACAAGCTGCTTCGAATGGCACTGATAATCATTCACGCATGCGCGCGATGCATGATCAAGGAGATATGAGGTACCTCAGTCGTCCCGTGGTTATGAGAGGAGTTGAAGTCCTTGATGTAAAGCTTCTGGCCATCCCTGGTACAGCGGATCTTTATGTGAAACGGGCAATTGATCTGACGTGAACTGCAAAAAAAGATACGAGCGACACATGGAACAATTATACGCGCAGGCGAGAGGCCATGACGTACGCGGCACGCATGCAAGAACGAGACAGCGCGAGAACGTGGAATGCTTACACCGTCGGGCTGTTCTAAATATAAAATGCGACCGCTTATGGAATGACCGCTCAAGTGTAAACAATGCCTAGGTCACACGTACAGAAACTTCTGAATATCGAGTTTCGCACGCGACTGGGGCGCGGTATTCATGCAAAGCACATCAGCAGCGGCGAATTAATTATAGACCCCGAAGGACGGGGCAATAGCAACACGTGAGCACGAATTAAGGCTTCCGTTTTCTCGCATCGAGCATGGCAGGGCAGCAGTGTGCAACATTCGGGAAATCTCAAGACGTTCGGTCACGTCGCGGTACAGCGCGTTGCTCGGTGGAAGAATCGGCGTTACACGTTCAGTCGCACGACTGCTGAAATCCGACACCACGCCGCAGCTAGAAAACAAAACCAACACGCTGCGAGGTGTGCGCTACGCCGGCATCCAAGCGTCACGTCTCAAACAGCGGCGCTATTATCAGCTGATCGGCCGGGCTATCGGGGCAGTCCAGCCCCCTCTCCCGGCTGAACTCACCTGGACTGCTCGGCTCTGTTGTAGTGTCGGGCGGTCGTGGTGCTGTTGCCGCTCGCACGCGTCTGAAACTTGCGGCCGCCCCGGACGCAGGCGTAGTAGATTTCGGCAAACTTCAGCTCCGGGTTGTAACCGTCCGTGGAGCGCACTTGAGCCGCTTGTATCTTGCGCGAGCTCCGAATGTAGAGTTGCACGGAATTGCGCAGCTGGAAAGACTGGATGCGCCGGTGCAGCTCGGTGAACGAGGTGAACTCTTCGCCGACGAAGAAGGTAACGTCGGCGGCCATCTTTTTCACGTAAAACAGTCCCGACCCCGCGTCAACACCACCACGGAGCCCGAGCGCCGCGTTTTTTTTTTTCTTCCTTATTTTTTTCTCGGCCCACTCCGCCATTTGCCCTCCTCCGAAACCCCCACCGCCGTTTTCGTCTCGCGCGCAAAGCCACAGCCGCTACGTCGACTCGTTGCGAGTGTACGATTGGACCATGTTAATCACGTGGGGCTTGTTACGTCGTTACTTTGGGCGCGACTGGACCAATGACACTTGAGATCACGCGGTTTTTTCCTGCGGGGTTTGGACCCCGTGAACGCACCGTTACGGTGCGCCAAGTGGCGCGTGCGTTCGCATTCTAATCCCGGGCCCGTTTTACACCAGCTAACTTATTTCTTGTCAATGCAGTTCCGTTGCGTTTGTTACTACCGCAACTTGAACCACGCTTTCCGTTTTTTTTTTTACTGCACTTGAGGCACAACAGTGGGATGAAAGAGAGCAGCACTGAAAACGAAACCGAAACGGGCAGCAAAACCTCAAGGCAATAAAACAAGCTATGTTCGCAGATTCAATTAGAGCGCTTCGTCGACTGATGTGCGCCCTTGTTTAATCGATTGATGGCGCGGCTAGCTGCATTTTGTGTGCCTGGTGTTGTCTAAACAGATCGCCATCAAATGGCGCCACAGCTCTAGCTTGGCTGGGCGTTTCAGTTTTTCTCGAGATTGAATTCTTGCATTTAAAGGTACCAGGGCTGCTCTCGATACAGGCTAAATGGCAATATAAGTTACGTGCCCAGCGCGTTTACCTACCTCTTGCAACCCCTCTAATAATTTTATTTTTTTTATTTTTGCTACACTCAGATTTTGATAAGTCTTGCCTTAGCAGAAATAACACGCATTTCTACAAAGAGTGTGTACTAATTCGAAAGTAATAAATGCACAAAAGCTTTCTGTTTTTCTAGTTTGTAGATGATTTTTAATTATATAGAGCTATAGCTGTATATATGGTCTGCGAATTTTCCTCTATATCTACACCCGCTTTCATTACACCATTCCCAGATTCTAGATCATGTGATTATCTCCAGTGATACCACGTACCCCCCCCTCCCCCCTCGTTTTATATTTTGTTCTGCTTTATATTCTATTCTATTTCTTCATATCTGTCAGAGAGAAACCGTAAAAGGATAAACGTTTTGCGGCAACCAAGCCCGCTTTTAAGGTTATTCACCTAGAGATGAACGGCCTCATTCCAGGTGACCATAAGAACAATTATCTCCGTGGCTGATAACAACATCAGAAGGTAAAAGCGTAAACACAGAGCAATTACACAATTATTATTTTCTATCAATAAGACGAAATCATCACTCCAATGTTTTCATTTGTTTACAAGCTGTCTTTCTAAAATTTTTTCTTTATTTTTTTTCTATTTTTTTTTCACAATTTCCACCACTGCAAGCGATATTCACGGCAAATACCCAGTGCTGGGTTGAGCCGCGCCGCAAAAACAAAGAAGAAATATATCTCCTCCTAATTTTTTTTTCAGGTCTGTCATTGCGACATTTCCTCTATGCCATTGCTGTCTAGAGCTTAGCTTGAAAACATCAATCACTTAGTATTTACTTGCCATAGTTTCACTGACTATGAAAAAAAAAAACACTTCGAAATTTTATTCACAAAATTAGGAATCACTGTTAATCCTGAAAATATTATATCTCTCGGAGCTTCTTCTCTGGACCACAGCAACAGAAACGTTTGCAAAGCTGTCTACGAATGTCTTTAGTGACACGAGAATCATTTGATACTCCCGATGAAAATTTGAGACTTGGAACTTCCTCTCACTAATAATTATATTCCATATTATTATTCTATTTTATTACTACTTGTACATAAACTAACCATTCCTTGACTTTTCTATGTTTTCTAAATGACTGATCAATTCATTTTTTTTCGACTAAATTCGTAATTGCCTATTTTATATTAACGGCCGTTTTCATGGTCAATCCCCCATAGAGGGGATGAGAGCTAATGAAGCATCTTCTATTTTCTTGATGAAAAGTAAATAATAATAATAATAATAATAATAATAATAATAATAATAATAATAATAATAATAATAATAATAATAATAATATAATAATAATAATAATAATAATAATAATAATAATAATAATAATAATAATAATAATATTATTATTATTATTATTATTTTACCTTGTATTCACATCGCTGTAACCGGCTCTGCCGGGCCTAGTCACGCAAGTCCTGGGAACTTAGACAGACCCGTTTCTTTGTATTTCTTATAGATGTTTACAACAAAGTATTATTATTATTATTATTATTATTATTATTATTATTATTATTATTATTATTATTATTATTATTATTATTATTATTATTATTATTCACAAAACTTTGAAATCACAGATTAAATGATATGTGAACACCAACACTTGTGACCACACGAAGTGCATTTTAGATGTCTGAAAGGTTTGAACAACATACGTGCTTACAAGCCCGAATACTTGAATATAAAACACTTACGTTTGTTTGCATACTTTACGAAATAGCTCGCTTATGGAGGTGCACTCCTTTCGATTAACGATTCTTAACTTTAAAAATGCCCCTTTCAAAGTCGGAGCTTTTTGGATAAATCCGAGTTGCCGGAAGTTTTACCGGCGAGTATTAATCAGATTTTTTTTTCAGATTTATCCCAGAACACGGAGCCCTACCCGTATATAAGAGCGCTAATATCGGCGCTGCGCCCCTTCTTTGGAAAAGTACGTAGTCCGATCAATTGTGATGCCTCGATTATATATCCTGTGGGCGGCAAGACGATAATTAAATTCGGAATCCAAGTTCTACGTAACGACGCCATCTTCAGTAAAAAAGCCGCTAACTTAGCAGCTTTTTGCTCTCATCCTTGCGTGTGTGTTTTTTTGTCCACGATTTTGTAAAGAAAATGCTCAATAAACTGAAACTAAGTAATCTGTTATGGTCACGTGGCCATGATCACGTGGCTTGGAGAACATCGTGAGCATCTGTCTGCAAACGGCCATTTCAGCTGAGAGATCCTCCTTTACAGACTACTGCACGAACGCCGATTCCTCGTAGCTTTGCACATACTATGTTTGGTCATACGACTATCTGAAAGCTAAGAAGTAATCGGAAAAGTCATTTACCTTGGGCTACAAATAACCCGCTAATAAAAGACAGAACACATTTCAGCGGCGATAAACAAGAAGCGCTCTAGCTTCAATCTGTGTCTCACTAGTCTATTAGCATTTGACAATTAACCGGTGTAATGAAATAATACCATTATTTAATTTTTTAAAGAATACGTTTTCTAAAGTTACAAAAATAAAGCTTTTCGGTTCGAGTCCTCGAATTACGTTTCTTTACTAAAAGAACAAACAAAAACACCTGTCCTGGCTTTAGTTTTGTCAATCCTTTAAACAAGTGCTCTTCGTAAAACGATAATTTTCCTTAATTATATAGGTCACTGATGTAGTATAACGATGAAAATAGCTGCATTTTCCTGTCTGTCCTTGCTCACTGTTTCAAAAGGCTGACATCACTACCTGGGCAGTGCATTTTGTAGTGGTCCAAGCGAATTCACAACAGCCAGGAGCGTATTATTGGCATATGCACGTTAATTGGAAAGGTACATTGCCACGCGTGTATTTTTTTTTCGTGTGCTTCGGCAAAACATATGTACCACACGAATTGGGCAGGACTCCCCATTGAACACTCCACTAAAAATAAAGGAGACACATGGGCGCGAACCAGCTTGTCAGAATAAATCAGGGCTTCAGCGGATGCCTGGTCGGGAAGAATCACTGAATTAAAATAGGAAGACGCCGTCTATAAGAGAATATAAAAAATGTAATAAAAATATAAACGCCTTATGACATTTTTATATTCTCTTGTGGATGGCGTCTTCAATTTTTTATTTAACCATTTCAGATCGCACACAAAATGCCTAGCGTAAGCAGCAAGCCTTACGAGACGTCACAAAACAGGGGCTACAACTTCCCTTACCTTTTTTAGTGCGCCGTGGCAAGGAAGAGCTGAACATTCCACTCCTCACTGCTTGCGTCTATGACTCGAAGATTTGTTCACTTTTGTCGAGCTCTTAAACGGATGTTGTCCACCGTTTTATCTTCTCTGAACGAGGATTTTATTTCCGCGCACACGTGGAAAGGACTTGCGCCTTGATTGATTGATATGTGGGGTTTAACGTCCCAAAACCACTATATGATTATGAGAGACGCGACTTGCGCCTTCCACAATGAATTTCTCTTGCCGCCTGTGAAGGGTACTTTTCCAGGCGCACAGACGTCGTGCGGGAAAGCGCACACACGTACAGAACTCTTTCGAGAATGTTTCTGGGGCATAGAGAGAGAGAGGGAGTAATAAACACATGTAAACGACAGAGGATACATAATTTTTAACAATTCAATTCGTAACCTTCGGGGTTTTATTCCGCTGGAAAGTAGCGTCTCGCTCGTCTTTTATCGTGCGCTACTTTCCGCGCACAACACGAAACCATTGTCCGGTAGTGCAACATCTTTGTCCGTACTACTATATCTGAAGCGTAGTAGCCTGCGTTTCGTTTTAATTTTTCCTACTTATTACTATAAAAAATTTATTAGGAAAAGCAAGTGATACCGCTGTGGACACAAATTAACAGCTTTTAAATTAACACAACAAAACAATCCACGTATTAATTATTGCAATAACAATTATTAAAAAAAAGGGTCTCATCCTTGGTTCTGGTTGACAGGGCGGCTCTGACGGTGATCATCTCGTCTGGTCTGATGTTCAAACAAAGCTCTTTGCATTCAGTTCAACACCTTGACAAGCTTCTGGATCTGGAGACTGCATGTCGCATTTCCCACCAGGACGATGTTGTCGACCTTCATCTTGTCCGTCTTGGAGTTTTCTAGCGCCCTTTAGATCGTTCCCCGGGTGGTCTTAGGCATTTTCTTTGTGTTTACGTGCAGCTCCTCGAAGCGGGAACAAGTGATTTTTGAGTAGAAGTAGGTACTATTGAAGAGGGCGTCGATCTCGATGCTAGTCTTTCACGAGAGTAGACACAAATTAGAACATAGCGGCCATTTTTTTAAAATATGGGTTGTTTATTTACACGGAAATGAAATCACGCATTTAAATAAAATTTAGAAATCAAGCCTGGGATTTGAGTTAGCGCGTAATTGTTTTTTTTTCGTTCTGTCTTCTTTGTACCGGTCAAGCGGCTTTTGCGATTTAGTCTCACATATTGAACACAGGTACACGCTAAAAAATAATCACCCTTTGCAAAAAGTCGAATGCCCTATACACTTAACTGTCAAGTAATTCAAATATATGAAACTTGGAAGGGGTGTCGCCCCAGCTTGAGCCCAAGAGCCCTTCCATGATTTACGCCGATGCTTCATCATGATCAAGCTTCCCCCTCAAAAACTGTTAGCCCCGCACGATACATTTGGGCAGCTTTTTGAATGTTCCCGCTGGCAGCAAGTTACCTCTTCGTCAACTTTAGTTTCTTCTCACTTATATCATATTTATAACATAAACCACATAAAAGTTTCTATATTTATTGTCTGCTGTCACTAATAACCGTGACACAGTGCTTTCGAAACCAGCTTAATTTATTTATTTTATTTATAACCCCAGGAGACACAATTTAAAACTAACCTCACTAGCGACGACAGCGATAGTGTTTTGTGGCGGCGGGTAGTGTTACTAAGCAGCTAAGCCGCTGATTTTGACCATGACCTACTACACTCCTGACCTGTTCAGATAGCGGGGTTCCTATGGGAGCGCGTGTCCCCGCTCTCGTTCAATCGCTCGCCGTAGGTGGCGCTACCTATAACCTGTTCGTCTGCTTCTTTACGGTTGTTTTGTAGGCGCTGGTATAAGAATGCCTGCTTTCTGTGGTGAACTGTCGGCATATATGTGACTATTTCTTCCCATACATTGCTGGTCAAGTAAGCTGTTCAGTGCGCTTAAGAATTTATAGCACACTGGTTGACAAACGTGGAAACCCGTGGATTTACATGATTTTGGACAGCCTATGCGTTGTCGCGTGCATTTTATTGCAAAAAAAATTCTGAATGTCTTTTAGTATTATTATTTCTGGATATTTCTAAATTGTGGATCATAAATTCGCACTACGAGTGCTTTGTTGGTTAAAATTTGACTACAAAGAGTGAAGGTGACGTCAGCGAACAGGTGCTGCCTAGCGCCACGCCGCTCGTAGGTGACGGCCCTAGCGGCAGAAGGTATGAACTAGAACGTGGGCGCTGGAAGAGGTGCTCTCTGGGCAGGTCAGGAGTGTAGTAGGTCATGATTTTGACTAACATTTCATCCCATCTTCGATCCCAATCGCACAGCCGTTCTGCGCTCTCCAGCATGTCGCAATGTTTGAATTTAGACTTCCCCGCGATCAAGCGTGATTTGCTACGCTCTCGGCGCGATTGCGCTCTGCGAGGACTGCGGCAGAGCGCAAAGTGGGCGTCCGAGCTCGCGTACGCCCTGCGGGATGTCGAGGCGAGTCCGCCGGACCAGGCGGCGTCCGACGACGACTTGGACGACACGTACTTCCTCGCCAAGAGCTACCTGGACCTCCAGGAGTACGACCGCGTCGCCTACTTCACCAAGAACGCCAGCGGGACGACGCGATTCCTCCACTACTACGCCAGGTACCTCTCGGACGCGAAGAAGCGGCTGGACGACACCGTCGAGCCGATCACGGCCACGGACCGCGGGGCGAGCCAGGAGCTCAAAGACCTGCAGGTGTGTACTCGTTTTTCGTCGTTGCGACGTGCCAACTTGCCGCAGTCGTGTCTACGGCGCTTGCGTCTGTTAGTGCGTTGTACCGGTGCCAGACTGTGCACCGGTGATCGTTGTTGGTGTATTATCGTTTATTCAGCCTTATTACGCGTGGGTCGTTCGTCTTGTATCAGTGTAAGATTCATTCGGCGTATCACAAATTGTGTTCCGATGCTGTGCTAGCTGCAGTGATAGACTGCTACCTGCTGGCAGCGATAGATCAAGGCAAAGATATGTGGGATTTAACATCCCAAAACCACCATGATTGTAAGAGACGCCGTAGTGGAGGGATCCGGGAATTTCGACCACCTGGTGTTTTAACGTGCACCTAAATCTGTTCTGAGTACACGGGCCTACAGCATTTTCGCCTCCATTGTAGATAGTGGTAAAGCAGCTGACAGTATGATAAGCGAGTTCTTGGACTGCCAACATGAGTTTATCTCTGGGTGACTTCTCACTGTCTTAATTAAATGTTTATTTGGAAATGTACACCCGAGCTTATCCTTCGTAGCTGGATGCAATCTAGAAGTGTTCAAGAGACGCTGTTCTCCAATGTGTTCCGACAACGCTGCATGACACGGTGCTTTCAATGACCTAAAGCTGGAAGGGAAGCAAGAAAGGCACTTCTTTCATATCTGTCCTTGTCTAGCTTTTTTATTTTGTACTTCACGTAGCAAGTGATCTTATTACGGGCTTGTCAGCTACCAGTTCGTAATAAGATCACATGCTACGCTATGCCTACAGGCAGAAAAAGACTATTCCGCACTCACCGTCATGGTTACCGGTGGCACTGATTAATGCTGCTGCGTTCAATACACATGTATATCTCATAAAATGGACGTGGGGATAGCCGTCACGGTAGCTCAGTTGGTGGAGCATCGGATGCATTATTCGAAGATCACAGATTCGGTTCCTGCACGTGGCTAGTTACCTTTTTTGTACTTTTCTTTCTTCACATCTACATTACAATTACTTGTAATGGCATCCGCTATACATTCCTTGGCATCGTTGCCCTAAATCTCGGGAGAAATAGATACTAAATTACAATGCACTCCAGGTGAATTACTATACGTCATGCAAACCAATGTATTATGGCATTAATTTTTATTTTATCAATAATATATTGAGTGCTTTGAAGTAACGTTAAGTCGCGTGTTTGATTCCGCCTGCAGAAGTTGAATTTATATGGGGATCAAACGCTAGAGACCCATGTACTGTGCGACATCAGCGCACGTTAAAGAACACCAGATGGTCAAAATTTCTAGAGCCTTCCACTAAGGCATGCCTCATAATGACATTGTCTTTTTAGCATGTAAAACCCTAATAATTATCATTAAAGTAATGATTTAGTTTGACACATTTACAGACAGTTCTTTATCCGTGGCGTCTTAAAGGGTTTGACATCATCGAGAGTGAATTGGGCTTCTTCTCTTTGCTTCTTGCCCACAGGCTGAGTTGAGGGCCCTGCGGCCCAAGCTGGACGGCTTCTGCCTCTACATCTATGGCGTGGTCCTCAAGCGTCTCCAGCTGCGGCAGGAAGCTATCGACGTCTTCGTCGAGGCGGTGCAAGCTGAGCCCCTGCACTGGGGTGCCTGGCTGGAGCTGTCCTCATTGGTGGCTGACTGCGACCACCTGCGAAGCCTCGATCTGCCTGACCATTGGATGAAGCAGTTCTTCCTCGGCCACACCTACCTCGAGTTGCAGCTCAGTGAGGAGGTGCTTGAGACGTACGAGCAGCTGCAGAAGGGACCCTTCCTTGAGAGCACGTACCTTATGGCACAGGTCAGTACCTCAGGTCAGCACCTCCTGGTGCAGGTCAGCACCTCATGGTACTGAGGTCCTTATCTCAGGTCAGCACTTCATGGCACAGGTCAGCACGAGGAGCGGCAGTTAGCTTCAAAGGCATACTGACACGACTTTGAGACGTCTCGAAAGGAACGCTTTTCATTTTCCTCAGTGTGCAGTGTCACTGCTTTCCACGCACCATATTCAGAAAGTGTGTACAAAACATTTTGCTTTGATATTAAAGTTCTTGTCGCCGAGCCTCAGCAAGCCAGCCCCATTGCTATAGACATTAGTTCACTGAGCTAACACAGTACCACTGAGCTTGCGAACTCTTCGCCTTGCATGCAGCCTAAACGCAGGAGTGACTGTCGGGGTGGGAGGATGGTCATTGGACGACAATTCACTCATTGTTGTTTACATACACCACGAGCACATGACAGATTTGCCGGTAGTACGTCGCGAATTGCTGTCTCCCCATTACATCACACTGCAATGAGACATCACGTAAGAGCCACCCCCACAATGTTGAAAGTATTTTTTCAAGGTAGTGGTATTAAAATATATTGGATGTATTCCCAGCCACTACAGTGCTCTTTTCAGGGTTTTCGATGTTAGTGCTTTTATTCAGCGTAACAATCAGAAAATATCTAAAATTTGTTTCACTACTCTCTCAGGCTCAGGTCTGAAATGCCTTAAAAGGGCCCTTAAACACTTTTTTGAGTAACTGTGGAATTTACTGGCAAAGCATATAGCCTCTGAGATTCAACGCCACAGAAATTTTAAGAATCCGTCCAGTACGAGCGGAGTTACAAATATTTGTCACACGTTGCAATCGCATTCTCTCTTCTCTCATCCCGACTAAAGCGCTGGAAGATAAGCAGTGAGGGATGGGAGGGGCAAACAAAAAACGTCACGCTCGCCTCGTGACCTTGAGCACTTCTTCTTTCGCTTTTTCATTAAATATGCGGCTTTTTCAGTGCGATCACGCGTGCATTCGTGGACAAGAGAGAACCGAGTGCACCATGTTCAAATCATCCAATGGCTGATAGATGGGTAATCTATGTTTGATTTTGAGGCATATTCCCTGATTTGTCGAGGGAAAAGAAACCAATTTTTAGCTGACTTTGATAATATATTGCGAATTCCAGGCCGTGTGCTGCGCTATTACATTTGGCTCGCGTGTTCTCGAAAGCCTCTACTACCGATCGGCAGCATTTTATGATTATGCTCAAAAAGTGTTGCAGGGCAAGGGGATGGTGAATAGAAAAACGATTTCCATTATATTATGGAGGAGAGGCACTGCTCTTTAAAAAAGTTTTTTATTTTTTGATTGATTTTTATGAAACTTGGTGAGCTTATGCATATGTGTGTGCCGACTTTAAATATGCAATTATTTTTCTTGTATAAGGTGTAGTTTTCAAAATACAGAATATTTCATGTGCCTTTTGGGGAGCAAGATTTTTTTTTAACCAGGAGAGCTACGAAATAAGTTGGCATATCACACTAATCTGGAATCAGGACTGTGTGCAGTGCAACAAAAATGGATGTTCTAAATCAATTTGAACAAAAGTTATGGTACGTTGAACATTTGTGTGCAAGTCGATTTCAAGCTAGAATTTCACTGGCAACTGTTCAACATTCCATAACTTTTCTTCTAGCTGGTTTAGAACATTCATTTTTTATTGCACTGCAATCTGCTTTAATTCCAGATTTATTTGTTATGCTTATTTACTTCGTAACATTCTTAATTTAGACAAAAGCTTGCTCTTCAGAAGGCACATGAAATATTAATTATTTTAAAAACTGCACTTAACACAATAAAAATAATTGCACTTTTGTAATCAGCACACATATATATGCACACTTGCCAAGTTTCATCAAAATTGGTCAAGAAACAAGAAAGTTTCTTCAAGTGCCATGTCCCCCCCTTAAGTTGCCTTTCCAAAGTACCAAACGTACCACTTTTATCTCAAGAAAATGCTTGTCAATTCAGCTGCAAAATGAGCAAGAAGAAAAGGCATATGGTGACATTGGTTTGAAGTTCGCGCACTGGTGTCACAAGTTTCAACCGCATGAGGTAGGGCCTGCATAAACCTTGACGAATGAAAATTGGAGCTGTGCAAACAGGAAAATTTTAGGTGTGAAGTGAATTTGAATAGGAAAGTGTGATTGAACACTTTTCGAATATTCCTAGAATATTTGAAACTTTGTAGCAAAATGGAAGAAAGAAAAACTGGAGAGGATGCCTCAGCATATTTTTAGGAGATAGCAACATCAAATTGTGGTGTTTCATAGTCTTCTTAATTAGCAAGAGTGAGACAATGAAGAGGTAGATTTGTATTTATTTACGTGACTTGGTTCAACTATTTGTTGCCGAAAACACTTAACAGGCAAAAGGCTAAGACGTTATGTCCTCAGCCATTTCCCAACCCTTCTAAACTTCTGTGGAAGCCCAACTCACGAGGTGGACAAGAGTGCACCACTCCCTTTCCAAATCTGCCATTTGGACATCCATGTATAAGATTTTCTGAAATTTTGGACGCTAAAAAAATCCTGCACAAATTTCCAGTCCAAAACGGCATTAATTGAGCCCCCCTACCTCTCTGCCTCTTCTATCATCTCCACGTTGGAACGAGTGTTTTCTTGAGTGAATACATTTGCGGCCGTAGTAGAGCTTGAAAGATAACCTTGCTGCAGTTTCGAGAGGGAGACGGGGTGACACATATTGAAAATCTGGTGGGGTCACTTTGAACCTTAAGTGTATTTGTCCTCGGGAAGTTTGAATAGAGAAATTCTGGTGCAAATCAAATAGCAAACTCTATTTAAAAAATTTGGCAGATCCTGCGTACCTCGGAAATATACGTTATGCGAAGCATTTGTAGGGAAGGTGACCGCATTGTAATTTTTTTATTGAGGGACACTTCATGAAATGATGCTAAATATATGTATAAATGTTGCACACATAGACATATGTTGAACAGTTGCAGATGCTCAAATAACAAGTTGTTTGCACTTGTGCAACAATGCCAACAGGAACACGAGTATGAACAACACCAGAAGCAATAAGCTGATATGAAGTGCTGGTGCTCTAGAAGATGATAGCCCTGGACACTGCTACATAAATCAACTTCAGCAAATGATACCTAACTAGAATTGACGTTAGCCTGACACGACGGCTGTATGATAGAAGTAGATATGTAATGTTTATAAAATTGAATTGCCCCCCACCCCCCTTCATTTTGTTTGACATTTCATAAACATTGCGATCTATTTGAAAAGTGGTTCCTCGACCTGGCACGGCTCTTTGGTAGAATACTTTATTTCCACACAGAATGCTTGGGTTCGACACCTGCTGAGACCCTGTTATTTATTGTATGCATTCATTGGGTCAATGCTGCTGATGTCAGCTTCTTCTTAACGCTCACCCATTGAAATTACCCAGGCGTGTTCTCGCTTTCCCAGGGAGTTACTAAGTTTCAGCCTTCTGCGGCACACGCGTGCATACCAGTGGCACACGCGCGCCCTCAGGTATGTGCCACTTTTTAACGGGAAGTGTTTGATGATGGACGTGACGGGATTGCCACATTATTCAAGTTTTGACTAGTGCTTCGTATTCGTCAAACCATCTTGTCCTCCCATATTAATTTTGGTTGATGCCAAGTTAAGGGGCTAATCACTAGAGCACCCAGTCGTAAGCAGCTAGACAGACAGATGGACGGGCGGATGCCAAAAGTGCTTGCAGTACGCCAAGAAATGCTTCGCATTTAATATTCAAAAATTGATTATTTGCACACCCCTAGTAAACATTAAAAATGGATTACCATGTCTTCAGAGGGAGCTAGCAACTTCAACATGAAAAATGAGAAAATTCTCTTGAGCTAATGCAGCCAAAGTATGAAAAATAACCAAGTTCATGCTGACATGCCGGTGCTTTGGATAATGAAGGCAATAGAATAGAAAGCTGGACTAGTTGAAATGCTTGCATGGCTGATGCATGGTAGAGACGATTACAAAAGGAACATGCAGCGCTTGTCCTGTGCATTCCGTGTTTCTTTCATGGAACACAGAGTGCACAGAACAAGCATGCACTGCGCAATGAATCCCACCCGCAGCTAGCCAGCCGTACTCCGAAAACGGGCCACGAGTTTAGGGTTGCACTTGAATCTCTGAAGCCTTATATTACTCCTACGCGCATTTCTCCTATTTGAAGATAGGAAGATAAGGCAGTGGACATGCTGTACTCTAGTCTTTTTGCAACAATGTAACTTGTGAGTAGGCATTCCCATCACTAGCCTACTGTAAAAATAGGCACCGGAATCGGCTGAACCCAGCAGTGGACATGTGGCTGGACCCGAGTGTTCCTGAGCCTTGTACCGATTTTTTAATGCAAGGAGAGTTCTGTTGCATTTCAGTGGATCAGTTTTTCATGTATGCTTATTTTAAAGTTTATTTCACGTGAATGTAGCGAGAATCGAATAAAAAATGCTTGCATAAAAGCGAAGAGAGACTTAACAGAGCCTAGCAGGGCTCCCTGAGTTCAAAATGCTTGAGAATCCCTGCTTTAAAAAATACTAGGTTTGTGACCTACAGCACTCGGGAGGTTCAGTTAACACACTTTTACTGGTCACCATGAACTATTCTCGAATTGAACAGCAAATTATTGATGCGGTGGGCATCGTAGGCATTCGGGGCATTTTGCATCCTCAACACATCAGTGACACTAATGTTGTGGCGCCATGTTCTTATTTTGACATCAAACTACTTTTGCAGTTCTGCATCATCTTGGTAGTTCTAGCAGCCTCCAAACAAACGAATGATCTTAGTGATAGCGATGAACTAGAGTGCTTATTTGGGCCAGTTGGTGCATATTCAAGGAAACAGAAAACAGTGCGAAAGAAGGGGCAGTAACACAGACAGACCCGGGTTGTAAGTCAGTGCTTGGTCTGTCTGTCATTGTCGCATTTCTCGCACTGTTTCCTGTTTCCTCGAATAGCGATGCTTTGTCTGATGCGTAACCTGATGAGGGCAAACCTGATGCCTTGCCCTCCGGCGTAATTGCTGCTGTCCACTACAGTAGATACACATTGGAAACCAGTGAGAATTATGCCTTACTTCTAGGAATTTTCAGCCGTTATCACCACCACGAAGTAGTCATTGTCTGGTGGTGCTCACACTCGAAACCTGTAATTCGACAAACATGCTACTTTCCCTACCGCACTTACGTTCCGAGTCCCCCAACACCACCCAGACCACCACCTTTTTTATTTTTGCTGACTGTTTCCTCTTTCCTTTTGACTCACTGATTTCGCCACACCACCCCCTACTCCAGCCCCCTTTGCGGTAGAAGCATGAAAATGCATGCGCTAAGATAGGCCATCGCAGCCTTGAAAGAGACAAGTCTGCCTGATGGAACATTGGCTCCAGTTACAGCACCACATTCAAAGTGTTTTCAATCCCTTCAAGCTACCATGTTTCCCCTGAACTTCTACCTTATTTGGATTTCACTGCAAGAGTAACATTGTGGCATTTTTACACTTTTCATGACGCAGGTCGCCATCGCCTACCACAACATGCGGGTCGTCGACAAGGCCATCGAGTGCTTCCAGAAGCTGCGCAAGGTTGACCCGTACCGGCTGGACAACATGGACATCTATTCCAACCTGCTCTATGTCAAGGAGCTGCGTGTTGAGCTGAGCCACCTGGCCCATAGCGTGTGCGCCATTGACAAGTATAGGCCCGAGACATGCTGCGTCATTGGCAACTTCTACTCGCTCCGCTCGCAGCATGAGAAGGCCGTTCTCTACTTCGCCCGTGCGTTGCGGCTCAACCCGAACTACTTCGCGGCGTGGACTCTCATGGGCCACGAGTACATGGAGATGAAGAACACCAATGCCGCCATCCAGTCGTACCGGCAGGCCATCGAGGTGAACCGCCGGGACTATCGGGCCTGGTACGGTCTGGGCCAGACCTACGAGATACTCAAGATGCCGAACTACTGCCTCTACTACTACAGGTCAGTTCAATGTTCTCTTTCATGCCCCGCGATGTCATGGTGATGTCTTACGACGGCGTCATCATGTAACATTGTCCCTTAGTCAAGGGTAGAGTTGTGCACCCGCCACTGCCCATGCTTGGTCACGCCGTTCAAGTTGCCGCTGAAATCCTGCGAAGGACCACGCCGCCGCTGCGCTACTATTATTCTTATTTTAACCCGAGCGAGAAACATGGCCACAAAATCAACACTTCACCTTCTTTTCTGCAGGTTTGATATTTTGAAAGCAGCGTTTAAAGTGTCTTGCCTACTCCCTTGTGTCTGTGTTTGCATGCCGTGGCTACATTAGGGCCCTAAAAGATCTTCTGATGATACACAATCGAGCAGGTTATTCTCTCTTGGCGTTTACTCCCCTTTCTTTTGCACTCCTAGTGATGTCAAAATGGCGATTCACGTGGCATCATTAGGGCACATGCTCTCGAAAGGTCCATAAACGAGAAATAAAGGTTTTGAGTTGTCTCCAACCCTGTTTTGCCATGCCTTCGCCCCCCATACGTCCCCATTTCGCATAACATTGAAATGAGAGCCACTGGTGGTAAGGAAGCAGAAACTGTGTCAAGTTTTTCATTGTATTTATTACAATGGAAATGCCATTAACCCTCTTGATTATCTGTTTGCACCAACTAACGTCTCAAATCGATGAGACCATTCACGAAAAATATTGAAATACCCCTACAAAACCCACTTTTCTGGTAGTTCGTTTTTTGTAAAAACAATACAGGTGTGGAACTGTCTACCGTATGATATATTCAATGAAACTTATTATGAATCCTTTTTTTCTTCCTTGTAACAACGCCTACAATATCACTGCCACTAAGAATGGCTTGTTGTCGCGAAGCCTGTGGGTGTTTACAAATGCATGACTGTGACATTGTTTGCAATTTGTGTCGCTCACCATTATTTGAGCGTTTTTTCTTAAAATATTTTGAGTGTTGTTGTATTTGTTGTATATATTGTATCGATTGCAAACTATGTAGTGAAATTACTCATGTGCACCTCCCCTATGAAATGCCTTACGGCAATGTAGGTGAAATGTAAATAAATAAATAAACTATAGCACTCGATGAATTTGTGATTTCGCTGCATTTTGAGAGTTTTTGATTGCACAAGCGGAAATGACAAGAGTCTGTAGCCTACAAGCTCGAAATATACAGCCTGCTACGCCAATATGATGTTCATTTCCTACTTTTAACCTATCAAACAGTGGTGCACGTTTTATTTGGAGATGTGTTCTAATGGGGCAACTGTGAAATGACTTTCGATATCTTGTCTGTCTCTTGCATTATTCGATCTGTCAGATAATCTAACCAGTTTCGTTAGTCTTGTAGCAGTAAAATTTAGGACAGTACAGTGAGCCATATACAAAAATGATTGGTGGAACCTTCAGGGACAGGAAGGGAAGAAACTGGATCAGGGAACAATCTAGCACGGTGGAGTAGTAGTTAGGGTGCTCGGCTGCTGGCCCGATGGTCACGGGGTCGATCCTGGTCGCGGCGGACGCATTTCGAATTAAGGGCGAATGGTAGAGGCTCACATAATGTGCGACATCAGTGCACATTAACGAACTCCAGATGGTCAAAATTTTCAAAGCGCTCCACTAACGGCATCTCTCATAATGATATGGTAACCTTAGCATGTAAAACTCCAGATATTATTATTAGGTCAGGGAATAAACAGGTGTTATGGACATCTAACTCAAAATCAGAAAGAAGAATTGGGCATGGGCAGAGCATGTAGCGTGAAATCATGAGAACCACTGGCTATTGAAAGTAACATGCATTTCAAGTGAAAGCATGCATGCGAGCAGCAAGCAGAAAATTGAGTGGGAAGATAAGGTTATGAAGCCTGCGACGGAAAACATGGCGTCAGCAAGCACAGGACCGCACTGATTGGTGAAACATGTAAGAGCCCTTCGCCTTCTGTTTGGCGTAGCCAGGCTGATATTGATAGATGTCAAGTTCGTGGATGTCGACTGTATACTGTACACTCAAACCTCAATATAAGAAACCCGGATATAACAAAATATTTGTTATAACGAAGTAAATTAATATTATTTCAGTATAGAGAGTGTTAGGAATATGCCTTTATAAGAAATATTTGGTTGTAATGGACTTACTTTCGTGTAATACCCTTGTCACACAGGTAAGCTTAACCACTGTCATACTCAACTGCAGTTAGCGGATGTAACTGCAGTTACCGTAAACCGCACAAAGGCGCTGTCACACGCTTGCAGCACGGACCAACTTATATGCATACAACAAACATAGTTTTAACTTTAGTCAATGATGACGTTAAAGAGACATAGTGCCATTAGTAGCAAATGATTGCGCAAGTTCAAGAACAGCACCATTCTGCGCAAAAACAGTTTGTTTCCAACCCGTAGCTTTGCGTTTGAAACGACCCGGTAGCAACCAAGCTGTGTAGCCGCACGTCGCGATACGTGTCTCGTTGTCAAGACTCATTAAAGTAGCAAGTCTTCCGTGGCAGTGCTTATACACATAATTTGTACACACACTTTATATTCCAAAATGCGTATCAACATCTGCATCATCTCAACGGTCCAGTTGACTTGCTTTTGGCTGGATAATTCACTGGAAGACTAGTGGCTCCTGTTCGACGAGGGGGTCGCCATGTTGTCAGTTTACGACGCTAACAGAGCTTGCCTACCTCCATTTACAAAAATGTAGCAGAATAACTGCAGTTAGGTTTGTCGTGTGACTAGGTACAACAGCCATTGGACTTAATAGCCGTTGTACTTAATTGTGGCTAGACTACCCGTGTGACAAGGGTATAAGGTGCAACTTTGCTATAAGGAGGAGGTTTGACAGTATACGGGCAACATGCAGGCAAGCACAGGAGCTGCGGCCCAATGACTCGCGCATGATGGTGGCACTGGGCGAGGCGTACGAAAAGCTGGACAAGCACCACGAGGCCAAGAAGTGCTTTTGGCGGGCCCACTCTCTCGGAGACTTCGAGGGGCTCGCCCTGTTCAGGCTGGCGCGTGTCTATGAGTGCCTCGGCGAGTGTGAACAGGTGTGGTTCACTTTTGCGTTGTCATCGTACGGTTGTGTGTTACTGTTACTCGACAGTTAGAGGGGTAGTGCCAAGAATTTTTAAAGGCCAAAAAGTGGTGGTCAACTGTGGCGCGATCTGTAGGTGAATTGCTCCCAGTACTAAACATGGCACGCTTGGTGGCTGATTTGAATAAATCTAGATACCAGTGATATAAATCAATAAAAGTGATCGTTATCCAACTGTCAGTTGTATTTTAGGTCGCGAGTCGCTATTAGGGAGTACTCGATGAAAAAATCTTGAAATGTTAAAGAAGCTGAACTCAAACCTTACATAAGGTACATAAGGTCTTTACTGATGTATGCCTGCTCCTTGTGGGATTCATCCCGTTCTGTAAAAGCTTTGAAATGCATTCATTCAAGCATTCTAAGGTGTATCGGGGGGCAGTGGTAACGCAACATGTATGAAAATAACCTTGGAATGGCCTCAGATGAACACTGCAAAAACATTTTGTTTCAAGTTGTTTGACTTTATATGCGAGAATGAAACTGGGATTATGGCATCTCTATATTTGCATGTCCCGCATTATGTGTCATCCTGAAGTAATCATGAGTGTCAAGATAAAGAGTACCAGGGACAGACCTTCCTAAATCTTTCTTTTTGTTGGTTTTATGGGACTGGGACCTGTTGTTGCGCGAGGTTGCAAACCAAAAGACTTTGATTTGTTTTATAGCGAGCACAATAATGCCGTTGATGCTGCGAATCTTGTGTGACTAAAGAAAAGATAGAGAACCTCTCTTTTGCGACTCTCCTCAGGCCTGCGCAGCATTCACCGACTACGTACGGCAGTGCGAGAGCCAGTGCTACCGGGCAGACCGCGAGGACCTGGCTCACGCCTGCCGCTTCCTGGCCAGGCACCACCTGGCCCAGAAGGACCTGGATGCGGCGTATGAGTACGCGCACAAGTGCACAGAGTTTCCCGAGACCAAGGAGGAAGCGCGGGGCCTGCTCAAGCAGGTGACGGATGCCCGGGTGCTCCTCGAACAGGACGTGGCGGGCGGGGACATGCAAATCGAGGAGGACGAAGAGGACGACGACTCGCTCCTCACCGGACGAGACTTGCTTGTCTGCGAGGTCACGGACATTGGGGACTTCGGGACTCCGAACAAGTGATCGCTGTTGTGTAGATGGAAACTGAGGCAGTGGCTAGTCCGGTGACATGTGCGTCTTTACACAGCACTTGTATTTCATTATTTTTCTTATTCTTGGGTTTTGTTAATTTTTTCACACGCTGTGTAAAGCTCGCAGATGGTACATGGGAAATGGGCCGTGTGATTTCAGGCCTAAGGGGGCGACGAGAATTACTCGATGTGCCGCTTGAACAAGACTTCGTCACCTGCGACATCGAGGATGCGAGGGAGGCTCCTAATGCTTCGGGGAGTCGTTACTGTCGTAAATCACTGACGCCTATTCAATTGTCTTGTACAAGAGCGATGGCTGCAGCGGTCGATGCATTGCCGAAACCTGTAAAGTCACTTAGATTGAAAGAGAATTTTTTTCTTCAATAAATTGTCTTTTACAAGAGTGATGGCTGCAGCCTTCAATGCTATGCTGAAACCTGTAAAGTGACATATTGAAAGAGATTTTTTTCTTCGATGAATTGTCTTTTACAAGAGTGATCGCTGCCGCGGTCAATGCATTGCTGAAACCTGTGAAGTGACTTAGTGTGACTTAGATTGAAAGAGAATTTTTTTTTTGATGAATTGTCTTTTACAAGAGTGATGGCTGCAGCGGTCGATGCATTGCCGAATCCTGAAAAGTGCCTTAGCGTGTGAAAGGCAGTTTTTTTTTCTTTGATGGGGCTTGTTAATATGTATGACGCAATGAAATGGAGAACAATTGCCTTTTCCATCGATGGAATCGCACCAACTGAAAGGATGATTTTATGCCCTTATTTATTTACATTTATATAACAATTAGAATACTACACACAAAGGCAGCAATGTCCTCATTGATTTACATGACCTAATTGTCTGTTTGATTCATTTGGTTTTGCACTGTGATGACAATTGTGCGGGATTATGGACTGATGAGACATTGTGCATGCGATTTCTCGTTGGAGACGAATCATGCTCTTGAGGGAAGTGCATGCTTTCTTGCGAATCCACTTGTCATTAAGACTTTTCCAACATTCAGGGTTGGATCAGAAAAACTTTTTGGGTGGTCATAGCCTGACCATCCTATGTGCAGAAATTTGCCCCAGGTTAAATGTGTGTCAGTGTTATTAGAGTTGCTGCAGAAAAAGAAAGGGATTTGGCCGTGACGTGCTGTTCAGAGAGCGAAACTCTCAAACAGTTAGTTGGGAATCGATGCCTGCAATGGGTGGCCACTGCCACGTATTAATCAATATTATATACACACCGAATTTGAAGGAACTGAGGGAAGTGTGGCAGGCATTAAATCTTTGAGCTCACTGCAGGAAAAAATGAAAAAAAAAAGAATGGTGAAGTACTCATTCCATTGAGATACTATATATTCACAACCACCAGCTGTTGCCGTGTCGTGTGGGAAGATGGAATTGTGGGTGTCATTACGTTCTTGCATGAAGTTTGTTGTATGTGCGATATATAATTGAAGAGCGAGATGATGAAATGGGTAACGATCCAGGCAACTTTTTTATGTTGGAAACATCCGAGACGTTATATCAGGACGTATATTATCATTGATCATGATGTTGTTTACCTCATGTTGCAAAGACATTGTCTTTTGTTTTGTGCCATTGTGGGTTGAATAACGTGGTTTTGTGCTTACCGTCACTAAAGCCAATTCATCTGTTAGAAAAAGTTGTGTTCATCTGTCCACACATTCTGAGACACCATTCCAATCTTGGTGTCCAACTGGTGTTCCTTTGTTGAGCCACAACTTGACGGTCTGCGGGGACTTACGCTGGTGAAGGCACTTCTTGTCAAATTGTTGCCTTCAGCAACATTCCCTTTTCAACCATTTTCGATCGCTGACCAAGGTGCACCGCCAGTAATGTGTCCAATTTGGAATCCACTGATAGGGCTTGTTTTACACCTCTGATCTGTTGCTGTTCAGTGGTAATGAGAAAGACACAGAAAAATGCTGAATTCGGCCATAGTTGGTTAAACCTCATGATAATAGAGTTTCATCTGACATGAAAATTGCTTCATTTGCGAGAATTCTTTATGAACCTATGTATTCCAGGGACCGTACGAATGGCCACACCAATTTCTCAGTCGCTTTGTTATAACCGAAGATTAGTTTTATCCCTGTTTGTTATAAGTTCTGAGAAAGGTAATTTATTAGGAGGCAGAGAGGCTGGTCTGAGCTATTGCACTCTACTAGCCTGGTACTCGGCAGCGGCTAAAAGAGAAAAAAAAATGAGTGACAATGCGGAGGTAAGTGGTATGTATGTATGAAACACATAGTGCTGGTTTTGTAAAAGTCTGGTGTCCGATTCTATGCCCTAAAGAGCCAATGACTACCCTGGTAGCAGTCGTTCTCTTTGTCTCGTCGCACATTGACAACAAAATGCTATTTTAACTTAGCCTTGGGAACGCTATTCCTGTCTGCGTTGGAGCGAGCGTTCTTGGTTTAATGTGTAAAGTGGGCAGTCACAAAATATGTGTAACATTTCGCAAACTTGGCATCATTCACAGTAGCGGCTGTCTGCACGGGGAATGGTGTGCGAAGCAGCGAGTGAAAAGGGTGCGGCTTTGATGATTCATCCTGGGCAAAAAGTCATTTCAGGGTTTGTTTCCCACGTACATCGTCTGACAGACCAATAAGTTGCTTTACGCTCTCGCATGAGTGATTTCAACGAAGAGTTCACGTCACTTCGCGAGTGCTGCACCACCACATCGATAGGGGAATCATAAGCAGGTTGATGTGAAATGGACAGCACTAAATTGTACATACCTGGTGTAGGTCAAAAATTTCCACTCTGGAACTTGACGAGAAGCACCTGTGCAGATAAGCACATAGCGACTATCACTGAGATGCTGAATTTCTGATCAGTCACGTCTGAATGACATAATACTTTTATAAAGCTTTTTGGTTCTACGTCGACTTGTCCTCGAGACTGCCTTGGTATGACAAAATAGCGTGTTCGCACGGGCGATGCGACCCCATTCCTAACAAAGGCTCCTCGCAGCAAAACATGCCTGTGTCTGAAACATGGTAGCCTGCAAGTTTTGATTCTACTCACTTTTAGTAGGGACACGTTGTTCAAGGCAGCCAATATTGTGTTTCCTGTCAGGATTATGCCACAGAAATCGGGTAAGTACCACCACTGATAAACTGGGCAAGAACACCACTGGGCATCCGAACCTCAAAGAGCGTGGCCTTTGATCAGGACTCTGAACTCTAGCCCACACTTTCACGTTCTGCATACACACTCCTTCCCCTTCTTTTAGGACAAATAGATCCTTAAAAGCGCGGTCAACATTGTAACTTCTTGCCTTATCTTGTCGTTGTCTTCTGTCCTTGTGGTCAAGATCACTAGTGAATGGCCAGTTGGGCCTGAGCTTGATATGAACTGGGATTCGTTTCGATGACAGTGTGCTCGACATTGTCTATGACACTTGTTCGAGCAGTCTGGCACTTGTTCCTGTCGAAATGTTGGTTGGTTGGTTGTTCCCCAGAGTTCTGGCGCAACCCACTGCAGGGGATCGGCCATGAAAAGGACGGTGCCTCATTTGTGAGGTGGAGTTGTTTTACCGGCTGGATTATTTAGATAACGATGTTTAAACAAAGAACCAATTGGTAAACAATAGATTAGAAATAAAATAGAGGTAATACAAAGAACGAACAGGCTAATATTTTATTTATTTATTTTCCGTATACTGTTAGCCTTTTGGCTGTTACAGGGGTGGGACTTACTAAGAATGACAAACATCAATACATTCAAATAATACAGCAATTTAAATAGCAACACTTGGAAAAACTTGGAAATGTTACATGACATACATTGGAAACACCGGCATTGAGGCTAAAAGAAGAACAGTGCTGTCGTATTAAGCATACAAATAAATTGCAATAAATTAACATAGTACACCATGCTTACAGAAAAATATCTTTGAGCCCTTCCTCAAATTTTTCCAGCGAATCACAATGAACCAGTGGTAATGGCAAAGCATTCCACTGAGGAATTGTTTTTGGAAAAAATGAATTTGCATATACATTGACACGCTGTTGTGGCACTTCGTATGTGTAGTCGTTTACACTTCTTAGATTTCTTCAGCGGCGTGGCGTTAAGTATTTTGTTGTGTTTATGTTTAATTTATTTTTTGACAATAAAAACAAGAACTTCATCCTTGCCAATTGCCGTTGTTTGGCTAAAGAGGGCAGTTGAAGAGAGCGTAGCATTTCTGTTACTGACTCAGTCGAGGAGTACTTTGAAAGAATAAACCTGGCAGCTCGCCTTTGTATTCTTTCTAGCATATTAGTGAGGCCGATTTCCGAGGGATCCCACACAATGCTGGCATATTGCAATGTTGGTCAAATATACGTAAGATATGCTGCTAGTTTAACGGGAGTCTTAGCAAGTCTTAATTTTATTCACAAGTACCATAGTTTTTTCTCCGCCACTGCACAAATGTTTTCCAAATGGTTCCTCCAATTTAGATTACTGGATATTGTTACACCTAAATATTTTATTTGATTGACGGTAGACAGGCGGGTAGAAAATGGATTATAATTGGAATGGAAGACGTGCTTACTTTTGTTTGTGTCGCGCAAAGCAACTGTTTTAGTTTGATTTATTTCCATTTTAGATTCAGTACACCAATTACTGACAGCATGAAGATTATCATTACGCGTTTTTTGGTCAGCTTTCCTGTGTATTTCTTTATAAATTAGGCAGTCGTTTGCAGAAAGTCGCACTGTAGTACTTCTATCTATGCGGCATGAAATGTCATGTAAGTTAACAATAATATCGGTCCTAAAACTGAACCTTGCGGTACCCCTGAGGTAACGCTTAATGACTTAGATTTGAAGCCGTTTATTTCTACATATTGTGTTCTGCCTGTCAGGTACGCAATATATGATTTGAAATAAAGTGAGTTTATGCCTCAGCTTAACATTGTAATCGTTTTGTTGTCTTTAGAAAATCGCATAGGGCCTCGCAAACATTCCTGTGGCTAAATCCCTGTTCAGTTGCTCCAAAGGAGAGGACCACCGGAAGGGATAAATTTAGAGCCAACCTATGGAGAGGTTCTTCTAACAGTCTCTTCCTTTGGTTTGTGTATAACCTGCATGTTAGGAGGAAATGGTGAAGGGATTCACTATAGTTGCAGTGGAGGCATAGTGGAAGCTGTGCCAAACCAGACCTGTGGAGATAAAAGTTCGGGGGGGGGGGGGAACTCGGCATCTTAGTCTCGTAATTGACATCTCCGCCGTTCTAGAGAAGCACCATCGATTTTTCCAAGAGTACTTAAGATGGGAAAAATCCGATGTTGCCAAGCGAGATTTTTCAAACTGATCTGACATGACAAATTTTTCAAAGCATGCAGCAGCGATAAAAGCTAGCGTCGGCGATATAGAAATTATGGGATAATTATGTGAGGCCACTGCGAGTGCATCTGCATATTCATTGAGGGTTAAACCTTTATGCCCTGGTATCTACACCAAGCGAATGAGTCGTAAATGTCTTGGGGCAAGGTCGTAAAATACTTTTAAGGCAGTGGACATATTAGGCACAGTTAATGAACTACACACAGACAAGCAGTCTGAAAGAATAATAGCATCTGTTACTGATTGAGATAATTTTCGTAACGCTAAGAGAATTTCCAGTAATTCAGCTTCATAAATAGGTGTGAAATCAGGTAAACGAGTAGAAAAAGACCAATCCAACACTGAAGATGCAATTCCGACTCCTGCCTTCTCTTCGCGAACTGAAGCATCAGTTGCTATTACAATCTTTGTGTCTAATTTTGCCAGGTGGTCTTTCAAAATGACATTTAGATATCGACTGGGAAGATTTTTGCAATTATTACGAAAAATATTGTCAAATTCTATTTTCATTGTTTGAAAAGGTGTTCTTAGTACCCGTACTTCACGAAGGTTACCATGTAATGTTTCCAAGAGCTTCTGTACGACGATGACTTGTGGACACTTTAATCTAGACCAATGTTGGTTAATGTGTGTGGCAGAAGAGTCACCACCATTGTCCGGATTTGCGAGTGTTGAATGCTCTCCACTACAGTGGTCATCATCTTCAACCTCCCTTTTTATTCATCAGGCACAGATACAGCTCCCACATTGCCTCGGCTGGGCAGAGGCTTTTCTTTAGTGCCAAAACTAAGGGAACTTGCGAGTGACAGCTCATGCCGCGAGCCTGGTGTCAGGGGCAGCATAGACATGCAGACTGAGGAGCTAAGCACTTCCATGCTGTTGCGTACGACGGACCGATCCCGCCGAAGTCACCACTGTTGCGTAAGACGGCGACGCCAACACGGCCCCGGAGGCGCCACTGCTTTCAACTCCGCCGGGAAGGTCACCAGCCGTTTGGTAGCGTATGTTTATCAGCTCGCGACTGCTTCTGCGCAGAGCTGATAAGACGAGCGGGCGAGACGACGGTGAGTTAAACAAGGTTTATGTACAGCATATTTACAGAGGCGTTACAATTTCGGCACTGGGGCCGACAGAGACTCGAAGAGCCGAGCTCTTCTCTCTAACACATAGGTCAGCCTTTCGCCTAAGACCGCTGACTCATACACATGTCGGCTCTCCGACATGGGGACTCCTCTCTCAGGACTGCCGATCGCGACGCACCGCAGGGCTTCTTTTATTTACACCGGGTCCAACCAAAATGTCCAAT